AATTTTTTTATTTATGTCTGCACATTTAGTGGCGAGGGTTCAGGGGCAGTGCTCCTGAAAAAATAAATATAAAGAAATTTGTAAATGCATTAAAAAACAAAAGAATATAAACAAGAAGAGAAAAGAAAACTACTCACATATATCAAACTTTGCTATTTCACGCATATATTATTTTTTGTAAATGCTATTTCAAGTTAGAGTAAAGTATCTTTTAGGTTCTCAACAATTATCACGAGGCTCAATTCAATCTCTTAAAAAAATCGACTTATGATCACTCTAAAATTCAAGATAGACCAATGTTAATCTTTTTGAGGGACTAACGTGTGTCTTCTTTGAATTTCGAGGGACCACAAAGTCGACTTATTTTTCTATGGGATTAAAATGGGCCCTGTGATTTTTGTTAATGACCCAAAGGTACTTTACTCTTCATATTTCAAGCTATTCACATAGCAGTCCTGTCCTGCAGTAGTAGAGATGACTCACCAACTATTCACATATATCAAACTTTGCTATTTCAAACGAATTTTTTTTGTTATGTCTGCACTTGCCCACATTGACAATCATGTAGGTCCGCCAGTGCTTGTATGTGTGTAGGGGTGAAAGTAGGCTGGGTTAGGCCGAGTTTTGCCCCGTACAGCCCAAGCCTAAGCCAAAAAATTTCAATTTGGCCTGGCTCGATAGCATAGTATGAGTCTAACTGTCTTTGCCCACTTATAAAAAAACAAATGGCCTGGCCCAGCCAGTTGGCCTGTTAATTTTTAACTTCTAAGCAGATCATAAATCAACTCCACAAAATACTCAAATTCTATTGTTAAAACAAAAATCACAATTTTAACGTCCAAACAGAACCATGAATCACCACAATAACTCATCACAATCTGCATTTAAGTCACTGTCAAAAGAAAAATGCTCAAACTAAATAATATATATTTCATCAGATCTAACAAGTCAATCCATACTATGTATATTAAAATAACTACATGAATACAACAAACACATCATGATGACTACAAGAGTTGCCAAAAACTTATCTTCATCTTCTCTCCCCTGCAAATACAATTCCAAGGTTACATAAGTTGGCAAATAATTTGTAAATGTAGAAAAAAAACAAGAATAAAGAATAGAAACAAAAAAAACCAAGATTAAGAAACAAAAAAACCTTTTAATAGATTCACATAGGCAATCTCACATGCTGAGATGTTGGTTCCTCCTACATGAAAATAAAGTCAAATTTCAGTTAAAATTTAATCGAATATAATTAAATTATAAAATAATTTAAATTGATTAGATTTATACCTTTTGTTTTTTTTTCAAGTCATACTTATTACGTAGCCAATCTCCACCACATATTAAAGCTTGGATGGTATCTTCAGCCAAGCTAGAACGATAAGCATCAATAACTCTTCCTCCAGCACTAAATGTTGATTCTGATGCTACTGTAGAAATTGGTACACCAAGTATGTCTCTTGCTATTTGTGATAAAATTTTATACTTTAAGCTATTACTCCTCCACCATTCTAAGGCATCAAATGAAAGATGAGATCTTTCATGATATTCATAAACACCTTCTTCAAGATATGACTTCAACTCTGACTTTGCTGTAGGAATATATTCTTATTCACGCACCATGCTCATGCCTCATGATTTGGTCAAACCCAGAGGTAGAGCCACGTCAAACTTGAGTAAAGGAAGTAGAAGATGATACATTCATGCTAGATCCCACTTGATTATCAGAGGATGATTATTGCAAACTTAAAGCTGAATATTCATTATACAGAGTTTCTAAAGCTTCATTCACCTTATCCATGTTAATTTGTGCCTCATATTCTGATTTGTATATAAGTGGAAAGCATCAACCCACTTGATTATCCACTTGATTGTTACCCAAGTTCTTCACGAAGGTGTTACAATATTTCTTGGAGAAGATCCATTCCTTTGTCTCCATGAATTCTGTTTGGAGGATGGAGCCCATACAGTGCTTTATAAACTCCATATCTGTTTCAAGAGCTTGTAACCTCTCATAAACATGCATCAACCTCCTCTTCAAAGGACACCTTATTCATGCTATCCATTTCGAGTGTAGGAACTGAGTTTTGCATATCAACAAATGTACATGCTTCCTCAATCTCATTATCAATTGCATCTAAATATGGCAAGACACTTTTTGCCAGTGAATCCATTGTTCTACATGAAGAGCATTTATCATCTGAAAACTCACCAAAATACAAGTTCCCTGGACTGATAACATTGCAATTTTCATTCAAGTTTTCGTCACCTGGTCCTGATGAAAGCTCATTATCACCCATTGTGATAAGTTTTTGCTTCAATGCTTTGAGCTCATCTAGAATGGACACCTTCTCTTCAATGAATTATCAAGAGCACTTACATACTTTACACAGTCTATTGCCATCTCCTCCAAATATGAAACTGTATCAGCACTTAAATTGTTGTGGCTGCTTTCCTCATGGTTGAACATGCCATTGTGTTCATCCTTTGCTTCACAGCTAAGATCAACGAATAGCTCATACAAGTTGCTGCAAGATGAAGAGGACTCTCTACTTCTTACACTTCCATCTTTCATTTTTCTCAACACCCTTAAATTCTATTTTCCTACATAATCCAGTACCTTGTTCCTGTACTCTTCCAATTCCTCCTCAAGTTCTTGCTTCTCTTTCTCTATTTTCATCATTAAATCATTCAAAAGCTGCAAAGCTTCTTGATCATAATCTGATTGCTCTTCCATCATTCTTTGATACCGCAATGCTTCCGTTTGCATTGCTGCTTTTTCTTCCTGCAGCCTGGTAATCATTGCCACTATCTGGTTGGCAGCTATTGCAGAAGCACTTCTTTCTTCTAGTTCCTGATATAATACACCTAGAGTCTTTCTTTCAGCTTTTTAAAGATGTTTTTAGCCGTTCATTTGTTAAAACTGGATCACCACATTCTGCCTCACTTGCAACATTTCCATTCTCAAAGAGCATCAATTTCCTATTAAGGTAATCAACAGAAGTTGGAGTTTCCTGATATTTATCTTCTCCTACTTCAAATGAATCAGAGCACTTGGCTGGTTGATGGCTTTTCTCAACCAAGCTTATGTTCTTAATCATTTCAGCATTCTCCTTATCATTTGCACCTGTTTTATCAGGAACAGCATTGTGATGGTCTGTTACACAGTTACAGCTATCGAAAGATGGAAACATTTAAATGTCTTATAGAATTAAGTGCTTCACAAGTAGAGGAGATAAAACAAAACGAAAAGAAATGAATAATGTATGAGATGTAAAACTTACATAGGCTGTTATTAGAAATGAAGACATCAAAGGCATTACTGCCACCATTGGATAAAGCTTGAGACTTACAAAGTTTATTCTGAGCAATGAATTCATCAAAAGCATTTGAAACTTCAGCATACTCATCACTTGATGAATATTCATCTTCTTGTGTGCTTTCATATCAGGAGGCTGGTTCTTGTGATTGAGGCAGATACAATCTTAACGAAGTTTAAGAGGAAGACAGTATTAAGCCTTAGGTTACCAACAAGGTATCATAATTGGTTTTTCTTGTAAGGTGATGTACAAAGAAAACTGCCACACATGCACCTAAGGCAACTAATTTTTCATTTTCCCCGTGCATAATTCGGGAAAAAAGATCCTCTAAATTGAATTTAGTCTTCAAAGTTTAAATAAAGATGTATTTATCTTTAAATTTTAGTAAGTTCAGTTCACAGTACACTTTTAAATGCAATCAAATATGGACATATTTTTATTTGCTGAGCCTTCTTCATAATTTGTCTCTTTCAATAGGAGAATATTGATCACTGGCAAATAGATATCTTATGTGCCATGTCATGTTAGAAAATTCTAATTAAACAAAGGCTGAATCAACACTGATGATTTTGTAATTATTTATCCCAATATTTTTTTCTCTCTTCTATTATCATTATTAACTCACATTTGTATGGTTATAATGAGAGGATCTATTTTCATATTTATTAATGGAAATGACATCTTACGCCAGCTATAGTCGCTTTCTAGTTATAATGTGGGTTAATCGTATGCCGGATTGTACTAGAACGGATCCACGAGCCCAATAGTAGCAGGCATAGAAGAGAAGTTGTTGGGCCCAAATAAGTAAATTTCTTTTTTTAAAAAAATTAGTAGAGTAATTTATTAGTTGATTGATCCACAACGCCATGGAGATAGAATAATTATAATATTAACCCATAAAAAATGAAAAGAAGAAAAGAAAAGAAAACAAAACAGAGCAGAAAAAAAGATTGAAAAAAATGTTTTATGCGTTCTCAATTAATCTATTTTATTGGTCTGATCAAAAGTAGAGATCATCCAGTACAAAGAAATTTATAAAAATATTTCTTATAATATATCCTTAAAATAATTTGCATATATGAATAGTAAGAATTTTTTCTCAACAGAAAAAACATAACGTTGAATTTTTATTTTTTTTTAATTCATGTTACTAACCGTATTAACTGTGGCAAATAAAATAAACCATTAGATTCCAATTAGTTTTAAAGTTGCATTTCTCCCTCACACATAGCTGCCAGGTATGTCCAAAGGAAACGATTATATAATGTTTATAATATTAGGAGGTTGCAGATATTTATTTTTTCAAGTAATCGTCAAATTATGTAACTTAAAAAATAAAATATATATAAATAATTATTAATTTAAGTAATAATAAACTTGTTCCCTTTAATAACAGATCTCAAATTTTAATTCTGATAATAATAATAATAATAATATTGGAAGAGTCGTTCAACATTCTCAATATAAGTATGTCAATATTCGAAGCGGGTTAAATCAGTTTGGATATAAAAAAAGTTGCAATTAGTTATATTTTAATTTTTAACGATGTTGTAATGACTTTTAATGATATACCATTAATTCTTCTAAAAAAATGATGTACCATTGAATGAATAAATAAATAAATAAATATGTAACGTTAAAATAACAAGATAAAAGAAAACAGTTGAGAAAAAAAAACCATTTAATACTAATCGATAATATTACACCCCTTTCATAATTCAGAACCAAGAACGAATACTACAGTTGCATTGCAGCAGCATCAAATTACAACAAACTAAAAACTTTAAAGTTTTCCCTTGAGAATCTGAAGTGAACACAGCTAAATATGCTCCAGTACTAAACGGTAGCATTTTAGATTATTAATTATTATATATGAAGAAATAGATTTAAGGGCATTTGTGTCCTCCTGACCTTGTCTTCCAGTTGTTGTAGCAAGGGCAAACTTGCCTGTTGTTCCCATCTAAACCAGGAGGAACACAGAGGCATTTTGCACAGCATCTCTGGCAATAAAACATGCATCGCTTCTTGTGTCCTTTTGCTGAGCAACGGTAAATGCACTTTGGGTTGCAGTCTGTGTAATTGCACACACACAGACACACAATTAGATTGGTTGAAGTAACGGGTCATTGGATCATTTGTTAAATCAGGGGGTCACTGCCAGATTTACATAAATTTAAAATTTATATTTCATATTTTATTTTTATTTTTTAAAAACCATGACATAATAATAATAATAATCAATGCCATACAAAAATAAAGTGGAATAAAAGAAATAAAAAATTGTAAATTTAAATAGTAAAAAAAATTGTAAAAGAAAGAGATAAGATAAGAAATGAGTGGCATACAGCGTCCCAAACCAAAAAGTAAATCTCTCTCTCTCTCTCTCTCCTTACCGCAACATGTTTTTCAACTTTTCTCTTTCATTGTGTCTTCTTTTCAATGGTTTCTTCATACGTATTCGACTCCTCTTCTTCTTCTTCTCTGTGTCTACAATGTTCGGTTTCATACAAGCGGTTTTTTTTAACCCGACAAGTAACCGATTTTAGTAAAACCGGCTGTTTCACTCGGATTCACACAAGCGATACATTTCCAATCTATTACTCTACTCAGATCGGTCATATAACCGGTTTTCGATTTGAACCGATCAGTTCGGTCCGATTATTATAACACTGATTAGCAGTTCCTTAGAAGCTTGGTTAATTAAAGGCTTAAACAGAACTAAACAATTTTTTTTATTTTTTATTTTTGTTCTAAGTTATGGTTAATTTCTTCAGTGCAAAATTGAAAGACCCAAAATTGGTTGATACCCATTCTGATTGAAAATACCTGAAGGGCGAAGTTGTGCTAGTCCATAAACCTGCAACATTGTAAGAGTTAAAACAATTGAACTCTTATTTTGAAGTTAAATAAATTGGCATGCATATGATTTAACCATCATATGAACAATAAATTACCTTAGTCACATCAGAGAATGTAACCATAAGAAGCAAAGAGAGAATGATCAAGATTGAGTACGGACGACCTGCCATTGCTGTGAGAAGCGAAGAGCTCACTTTTCTTCTTATAAGAAAAGATAAACAAAGAAAATGACTTAGAAAAAGGTTAATTATCCTTCTCTCACAACACTATCTGTATGGAAGATGAGTGAAGCAACATGAGAGGTATGAGTCTTTATTTATAGGAATAGATAGGAGGTTTATAAAAATCTAGGATTAGAATTCTTTGCATTTTGTTTTGAGGAGCATAATTAGAAGAGAGAAATATAAAAAATTAATGAGAAAATTTTGTGTCATCTTAAAAGATGTAAAATTGTATTATTGCAAAAGAGAGAAAAAGATAAATAAATAAAAAAAAATTGAAAAAAATATAAATTACGTGTAAGAGTGAAATAATATAAATTATATCATTTTAAAAGAATAAATATTTTTTTCAAAATTTACGGACAACTGAGTTGTTCAAGGCACTAAAAAAGGATAAGATTTGTACCAAGATACAAAAAAAAAAGTGTTGTACGGTTTTTTTAAAAGGCAAGCGGTAAGTGGGGCCCAGGGCCTTACGTTAACCGGGAAAAAAAGGAAAAAGGCGAGAGGTAAAGAACACACAAACGATGCTTGAAATCTTGAATGAGAAAATGAGCGATAAAAGCGGCATGTTTGTTGTTTCCTTTATTTTTATTCGCTTTTTGTCAACTTGGTAACATGCTACTAATCGGTTTCTTTTCTTCTTTATGGCCACAATTTAAATTTAGTAAAGCTACATCTACAGAGTTGTGGAAAATAATTGTGCAAAAAATTATATTAAAAGGTAGTTAAATGATTATATAAATGAATAAGAAGTCTGAAAAAGGTTTTTTAATAACTCACAATTGTTTATGTATTTTTTTTTGGAAATATTCTAATCGGTTCATTGCTTCGCAATTAATCTGATTCGTGACGGATCCAGGATTAAGACTTTAAACTCCTCCCAAATGTGGTACTGGAGAGATTCGAACAAATGCTCTCATCCCTACCTACTTAGCTCTCATGCGTCAACTGAACTACCATCGTTTGGTATTGTTGATCTAATTTAAAGCTACATTCCAAGTACAACCCCTCACGTTGTAAGGGTACATGTGAGTGAACATGGGCTTATTTGTTGAATCCATTGATTTATATGAATTAACAACTACTATATGATTAACATTAAGTATTGATCATATGCAATTTAACAAATCTCATCTATAAATTTCCAGCATTTTTTCAGAACTTATCAGCAGTCAGCTAGTTGTACTTATCAAAGAAGATTCTTAAGATTAAGTGTTAAATTAACTATATCATCATATCAGACTTCTGCATAGCCTTGTGAGGAGTGAGGAATCCTAAATTCTTACGGGATGTTTGGTTCAAGTTTTTGGAGAGGATTACCAGTAATCCTTCTTTGGTAAATGTAATTACCACGTTTGGTAGAAGGAATAAATTACGATTCCCGGATATCCAAGGATTACCGGTAATTTGATTTATAAAGAAAAGTCACTATTCAGATTACCAAAAATAATATGGTAATTCAGAATACCAAGTAAAGGGAAAGCACAATAATAAATTTTGAGACAAAAATACTCCAATACACATAAAAATCTAGACCCAATCTATCAATTACAAAAGTAAAAATAGTTTGGGGTTATTTTTGTAAAATAACCTCATATTCCAAGTCATATTTCGCTCTAAACCAAATATGGAATCAGTAATTTTTACCCAATATTTCCGGTAATATTTTGGCGAACCAAACACATCTTTCGTAAGAACTCAATTTCTACTGAATTCCCATTAATCATGATTCACGGTCACCAAAAAATTTCTCTTGTACCAAACACACACTAATTGTTCCCCGTTTATTATCTTTCTACTAAAACGATTTTCGGGTGTTAAAATCCCATTGAGCACGTCAAAGCTTTCTATAATTTATTGTGGCGTATTTTTTTTGCCGACAGCAAGTGAGTTTTAATTTTTTCGAGACCATGATTTATTTGAGCAGAACCTGCAAGGATTTGAGGATCTTGATTTGAAGGAAGATAATAAATAATATAAAATGAAATAAATTACAACAAAAAACAAAAAAGCGCTTTTTAAATAAAACACCTTTTGAATTATCAATAAATCAGGTGCTCAAATTAATCTTATATAAAAAAAAATCTATTCGTGTTTCTTCTGAATTTTAAATAAATTCATATTAATTTTTTTTGAAATAATAACATAAGTCTTTTTTAAATTTCAGAAAAATCAAAATTTTAATTAAATTAGATTTATTTTAAAATTCTAAACCATAAGTTAATTTTTTTTTCTAATAAATTAATTTGGTCCTCGTAATTTTTTTGTTAAAGATCTAAAAAAATAACTTTTTTATTTTTTTTTTCCTTTGATGTTTTCAATCATGAAAATATTGGCGCCCAGGAATCACGGAAAGGACGGTGATCTGACGGAGGGGACTTGCACGATAATGAAACACGGAAGATGACGTGGCAAAACATTTTAATTTTTTGAAAATTTTATAAACCATATATATTATATATATAGTAAAAAATATGTATCATTTTAAAAAATATAAAGTTGTATCATTTTAAGTGAGAAAAAAAAATAAATTATCAGAAAGAGAGTGGAGGAAAAAAAATTTAAAGACGTGGGCCTCACATCTTTATAAGAGTGAAAAGATGTAAGGTGTATCGTTTAAAATGACATACATTTTTTTCCATATGTATATATAGAAAGAGTTATATTTACAAATTTTTTGTTTATAAAATACATTATATTCTCTGAGAGAATATTAAGTTACATTATGTTCTCTTGAAAATATAGAATATAATTTCTAAAAATTTGTAATCGGATATTCATTTTATATATATATATATATAGAGAGAGAGAGATTGTGTGAATCTTGGATGCAAAGATAAAAATTCACCATTCTTGTTAGCCATTCTTGTTAGTAGCTGCATTATACTGGTTGCTTCTGTGTTAGAGCTTGCCTCCATAAACTACTATTAATGATAAGAAGTAAAAGCACACCTAAAAAAGGTCGTTGTTGGTCACTTTATTTATGAACTTCAACCAGCAACTTTAAAGCACAAAAGGTACAAGACGAGATTCGGTAACCATAAAAAAATTCAAAATTAAATCTTATGTTTCTTCCCTTTTTTATGCATGTGTCAGTTCCTATTTTCTAATTAAATTCAGATGAGAAACAAAAAAATATACACTATTTCTATTATTGGCTATAACTTTGTAGTCTTCCTTTTCAAGCTATCACTATTTAATTAAAAGTGTATTTTTATGACATGTGTAAAAAATAGTATTAATTATTCATTTAAATAATAAAAATAATATATAATTTTTAAAATATTAAATAGTACTAATCATTTAATATTTTGAATTTTAAATATTTTAATATGAACTAAATCCTTTAGTTAAAAGCTTTTAATTGTTTTTTAAAAATAAATTTTAATTAAAAGCAGAGGAAAAGTACCACAAGCTTTAAGGCCCGAAAACCCAAGCCAGGGAGTGGTCGCTCTCATGGTCACCAGTCACCACCAGCATATAATTATAGCCTATGTCTAGTGCAGGCCTATAGGTGCTACTACTGCACTATACATCATTTCTTGAAAGAAAATTAGATTCGAAAGAAATTACGAGAAAAGATTTAGAGAATGATTGGATTATCTCTTTTTTAATTTAAAAAATACTTATAAGATAAAGTTAAAAAAAAGAGTATTGAGATATATAGTCCCACAGACTTTGGGCACTCTCACCTTTTGAGCTAGCTTTTGGGGTGGTGTATCTCAAGGTTCTTTACATGGTATCAGAGTCTCGCCGTCCCTCAGTTCTCTTGTGGAGTTTTTTAGCACAGGTAGGCTGAGCCTGTTGCATTGTTCACCCTTCAAGCCCAAAGGGCTCTCGTGTGAGGGGGAGTGTTGAGATATATAGTCTCACATTGGTGGTATATGCAACTAAAGTGGCATTTATAAGACCTTGGGCACTCCTACCCTTTGAGCTAGCTTTTGGGGTGGTGTATCTCAAGTTTCTTTACATGGTATCAGAGCCTCGCTGCCCCCCACTTTCTCTTGTGGAATTTCTTTCTTCGCACAGGTAGGCTGGGCCTGTTGCATTATCCACGCTTCTAGCCTAATGGGCTCTCGTGTGTGAGGGCGTGTTGAGATATATAGTCCCACAGGCTTTGGGCACTCCCACCCTTTGAGCTAGCTTTTGGGGTGGTGTATCTCAAGGTTCTTTACATGGTATCAAAGTCTCGCCGCCCCCCACTTTCTCTTGTGGAGTTTCTTAGCACAGGTAGATTGGGTTGTTGCATTATCCACTCTTCAAGCCCAATCGGCTCTCGTGTGAGGGGGCGTGTTGAGATATATAGTCCCACATTGATTGTGTGGGCAACTAATGTAGCCTTTATAAAGCCTTGAGCACTCCCACCCTTTGAACTAGCTTTTGGGGTGGTGTATCCCAAGATTCCTTACATAGTATCAGAGCCTCGTGTCCCGGGTTCAAACCTCGCCGCCCCCCACTTTCTCTTTGTGGAATTTCTTACCATAGGTAGGCTGGGCCTGTTGATCATCCACTCTTCAAGCGCAATGGACTATTGTGTGAGGGGACGTGTTGAGATATATAGTCCTACATTGGTTGTATGTGCAACTAATGTGGAATTTATAAGGCTTTTGGCACTCCCACCTTTTGAGTTAGCTTTTGAGGTGATGTATCCCAAGGTTTCTTTACAAAGAGCTTACTAAAAACGCTAAAAATTATTTGATAATTATATACAAATTTTAGCTTAAAAGCTATTTAAAAACACACATTTCAAAAAAATTATCTCTCTTTTCATCTTTATATTTATAGCTTTTTATTTTAGAAAAAATACACTATTCAAAAAAAGTAGATAAGACCTTAGAAAAAGTTTCTCTTAGGAATTTTTAACTCTTAGCTTTTTTTATTTATAAAAAAGAATTTTTTATTATAAGAATTTTTGTCAAAATCTATTTGGCATAATTTACGTTTATAAATAGTTTTTAACTTAAAAAAAAATCCAAACAGACACTTAAATTCAAGTGATATTAAAAATTTTCAATTTAAGAAAATGTTGTATCCAAACTCGGTACAGTAGTAGCGCAAAATAAAATTCGCATGA